ATTTGTTGTAAGTGCCTCTGAAGATGGTTCCTTGGAACCGAAACATGTAAGGCAGACGATATAAATAAGTGACCAAAATATATATTGTTGCACTTGACGGAAAATCTATTGACAATTGGTGATTAATAGTGTAACGGACCAAAATGAAACAATTCAAAAAAAGCACTATGAAGTTAAAAAAATATTATCATATTACATAAAAGTGAAATATTATATAAAATATATATCTTATTAAGACAGATACAGTTTATTTTGGACACTCTCCATAATAATAAGTATCTGTCAATGTACGTGTGCAAAGGAGAGGAATTTATGACCATGCAGTGTGATTAGCTTTCCAATGGTGGGTCAGAAATAAATTAATTCCAACGATTACAAGATGCTTTTGTTTATGCAGGTGGTGCCCTATAATGCTCCATTCTTCACCACATGGTTCTGCACCAACTGGACTGTCCTCTTCTTCCCACTCTACTTCATCTGTTGTCTGATATCAACCAAGTGCAAGTCACCTGGAAGCATCTTGTGGGAAAGTGTGTGGAATTTTCGGGACAAGGGCTTCACTGCAGGTAAATTAAAAAAAAAAAAAANAGCAGAGAAACTTGCAGAGTGTTTACTGGAACTAACGTTCTCTCACAGTGTTACAGTGTTATTAAGTTATTTACATGCTGCAATTTTATTATTTAATAACTGGGACGTGTTGATCATAGATACAAAGTGTAAATGAGAACTGAAAGCACAATTAATGAAATTTGTTTTGTTTTACTTCAGTGTCTATATATAACTAGAAATGTCAGCAATGTAAGGAAAAGCCATGGCCATGCCATAGCTCAAGCGGTTAGTCGCTGGCTACACATTGCGACAGCCCGCGTTCAATCCCGAGTATGGTCAAGTGGAATTTGTGGTGGGCAAAGTGGCGCTGGGGCAGGTTTTCTCCAAGTACTTCGGTTTCCCTTGCCAATTTTCATTCCACCAATTGCTCCACAACCACCCTCACCTATCATCTGGGGCTGGTACAATAGGTCAGAAGTAGTCGCAGTACAAGGGACTTAGTCCCACCCCACTAGCAATAAAAAAAAAAGGAAACGCCACATTCAGCAGCCATGAGAAGAAAATTTACAGACCATCACATATAAATTGTACCACATATGAATTTAATTTTAAATTGGATTAAATGTTTGAATTATATCAGGGAGTTAATGAAAGACTACAATCCAGAGGCATCAAAGCAGCAGAGAGACTGTGGAAGATGTCAGGAAAACATTTCAAAGGAGACCACAGAAGTGACTGAAATCTCTTCATGTTAGGAATGTTCAATTGAGCATACGATGCTGAACATGAAACTGTATGAATGTGTTTCAGATATCACAGGAATCAGATAAAATAAAGAAGTCCAACAATATTCCATTCTTTTTAATCACATTTACATTTTCTGATAAGGTAATTTATAACAGTAAAAGTGAAGATGTCAAAACATAAAAACAAAAAAAAACTCCATTGTTTTAGTCCGCACAACAAAGTTCAAGGAAGTATAATGCATTAGTATACAGTGTAATCAGTTTTGTTACAGTGTAATTACATCTGAAATATAAAAGTTAAAGCAAAAAAGTACCAGGCCATGAAGGCCCATAGGGTTGTGAGATGTTGAGGGTCCCACATTATCTAGACGATCGGCTCAGAGATGGCAGTAAGGTTGTCAGCCTTACGCGCCAGCTGCGCTTTACTCCCCAGGAAAATTATTTAATTAATTCCTGGTACTCATTTCTGTTAGAGGCTGAGTAAACCCCAGGGCCTAGTGTGGCTGGAAGGATTAGGTCAACTGAAAAAGAATCCAATGACCTCATCGGGATTTGAACCCGCGACCTTCCGGCATGTAGCGTAGCACCTCAACCACAATACTACCGCGTGCCCCTGAAATAATACAATTATAATTTAAGTTAAAGAATATCAGGTTCAGCAGATTTAAAAAATCATAAAGCATACATATGAGAATCATATTATCAAATCTGCAGCATGCCGGAGTATATTTGTCCACAAACCAAAAAAACAAGCTCTGTGGCCTGTAGTCCACAAGCAAACTATACCGACTGAGTGACTACCGCTTGTTGGTGAAGTTATTGCCAACTTTTGCAGATAGAGGGTGTTGCGTGGTCAGCACAATGGATCCCCATGGCCGTTAATCTCGGTTTTCTAGGCCAGAGCCGCTATTTCCTTGAAATAGGTCCTCAATTATCCTCACGAGGCTGAGTGGACCCTGACATTTCTCCACTCGTTTTGCCATTTCCAAAGAGTTGTGGAGAGGGCTGAGTCTCTCATTAGCATATCACAGTTCTTTACAGTGAAAATGAGCAGTTACATTATAAATATTTTGTACTGAGGTATATACATCTGCCAACAGCTCGATTTCTGACCCGCTGCAGCCTCTTCTGTCTCCTGTGGGTTGCAACCAACTACATGTACATCCATTCACTACGGATCCTTTTAGCCACTGATGTAATGGCACTGTTTGCCACCAATGTGTCCTGTGTGTATCTGCTATCATGGGTGATTCTTCATGAACAATTTGTTGGTGTCAGAGTAAGTAGATGCTACATTTTCATGTGCAGTATATAATAAAGAACAGATATCTTAGTAGGTTTTGAGGTTCTCACGGCAGAAGTTATGAGGAGTTGCTTGCTGCATGTTGGTTTCATGCTTAGCTTATTCCTCAACCCTGAAGATGGAGACGACGTGTTCCTCTGAAACATCTCTTGACTTTCAATGGACTATGCATCACTGTATCCCAGAAGATAAAAACTCTTTTGATATCTTAGTACTTTTAAGGCAAAGGTTCTAGATACTGTCAGAATGAAAAACCATAACTAAAACTAGAGTTGTCACAACTATGAAACACATCTACCAATGGCATGGTAGACACTGTAAGTTTTATTACACTTGTTTTAATAGCTAATGCATTTATAACATATCACAGACAAATTTTATAGACAGATTACAATGATTCATCAATCATGTTACCGAAATATTTCACACAATTGCTGTAGTAATATTTTTTATTTCTCTTAAAAATGATATTGGTGAAACTTGCATGTTATAGTATCTGTCATAATACATGATTCATACTCTTGTATTGAATAATACTGATGTTTCCCTCTCACTAGTTTGCATGCCCTTAACAGTAGTATTATTGGTGTCAGGGAGTTAGAAATTTCCAAGATGAAGGAGATTTTCTATAAAATTGTAATGAATAAAATTTCACAAAATCAACTAATGTCTGAAATGAAGAGGCTGTAGGTGATATACAGAAAGTTCAGTACATGCAGCTTACAAAGAGGTTCTGAAGTCTGGCTTACATTTCTTGGAACCACAGAAAGAAGACCAATTTTAAATTATCATGAAGGTAAAACCAAACAAAGTTTCTTGTGTTGAAAATCCTGGAATGGAAAGAAACTGAAATTACAGATAGGTCTATACACAAACTGAATTTGAAGAAGTGTTGTAAATATATTGTTTTTCTTGTTACCTTGTATAGATTATGGGAAATTTAAATGGCAGCACCAACTTAACTTCAGTACAATTTAATTCCATTGCATTTCAGCCTTATGTCTGGGATAAACCCTCCTGCTGACTGCTCTGTGTGATCCTTTAAACTGCTTTCTGATCTTTACGTGTTACATGATATGGAAAATGTAAAAGCATGGATACATTTTTTAAATATATCAATAACATTCAAAATTAGTCTAAATTGATCTGTATGTCTAATTCTTTCTACTTGCATATCACAATTTAATAATGTTCACCAGAATTGGTTTCCTTGCTTAACAGTTTCATTCTTGGTTCTCGGAAAGGTATTGTGGTAACTGAATCAAAACTGTCTTGGAGTTGTTACCATTTTCAGCAGTTGATTCTCATCCCTAGATTGTGGCTGTGATCCTGTGTGATACGGGGATAGCCCTGCTTGCTTATATGGATGGCATCACTGGCAGTCCCACACTGGGTGGTGTGGTGCTGGCTGCTTGTGCAGCTGCAGGTTCTGCAGTATATAAGGTCAGTTCCCTTTAAAACCTCAGTCATTATTAAAGGGAGCTGCAGGTACAGATAAATCACAGACTTTACAAAGAATACTACCTGCTGGGACGTATCACCATGTAGACCAGTACAAGTTCATGAATGTTTCAGATGTGCACACTGTCTTAAGGAAGAAACCAGCAAGAAGCAAGCAGCAAGCACAGAGTGTTATGGTCACTGTATTATGTGACCCATAGAGATGAAGAGGAATTGTTCCTACACTTAATTACAACATCATGAAGATGTAGAGAGTGGATAGGAGTAAGAATCCTGGTTTTAAAGGTCTCAGGGCTAGAATAAGGGCAGTAGTCAGCTTCAACTTTCTTCCAGGGCTCACTGGGTAGGTGATCTGGTGTTCTGGTGGGACTGAGAGCCAGTTTGAAAGTGGTAGCTAAAAGAAACATGCATAACTCTGCCATGAACTGAATCCCAATCATGCAACTCATAGTCAGTGTTCTTAATAATCATGCTATCCAGTTTCCTAAGGATTAGTTATAAAGTAATATAAATTACACTATAATAATACAATCCATAGCTTCAATAACCTAATACCAAAGCCCACTATTGGATCTGGTCCCAAGCCACTTCTAACCGTTTCATATTCTTATGACCCAACCACTTAACATAAATTTTGGTTCAAACCTGGGCCTGGTCAAGTGGGATTTGTGGTGGACAAAGTGGCACTGGGGCAGGTTTTCTCCGAGTACTTTGGTTTCCCCTGCCAATCTTCATTCCACCAATTGCTCCACAAACACCCTCACCTATCATCTGGGGCTGGTACAATAGGCCAGAAGTGGCCGCAGTACAAGGGACTTTGTCCCACCCCACTAGCAATAAGAAAAATAAAAAGTAACATAAATTTTAATATTCATACAAGTACTATACTCCCATTCATTTTGCAGTCTGATAAATTGTTGCTTTCCAAGAGGTGACCCCATCAAAATTATTTATGTGTTTCTTGTCCCCACTGTCCAAGGCATGTATCCAGCCCACCTTGTCAAGTTACAGTGTCAGTAGATTGTTGGGTCAGTTAAGTGAAAGAGATCAGAAAGTTGGGACATGTAGCATGTACAAGTGAAATGAGATGTGAATGAATTGTTTCTGATGGAAAATCTCAAGGGAAGTGACCACTTAGGAAACCTAGTCATAGATTTTATGATAATAATAAAATGAATCTGAGAAAATTAAGCATGAACATGTGAACTACATTGAATATGCTGAGTATAGACCCAAGCTGAGAATTTACCTACCTTCAGGCACCAGGACCAACACAGGACACAATGTATAAACCAAATGCAACATAACGATCTACAGGACGATGTTCAGAAAGTCAATAATTGTATTAATACACCATCATCATTAACTTTCAGATATTTCTCTGAACTGATAAGTGAGTAGGGTACTGGGCTGGAAAATTTGAGTGATTTCAACATATTATTGTCTTATTACAGGTTCTATTCAAGAAGGTAATTGGAGAGGCCAGTTATGGCCAAGTGTCTCTATTTTTCTCACTCATTGGCCTCTTTAATGCTGCGCTTCTATGGCCTCTCTGCCTGGTGCTGTACTTCACAAGGGTGGAAACCCTGTACTGGGAGCAGCTGCCATGGCCTGCATTACTTGCAGCAAGTGGACTCTCACTAGGTATTTTAAAATTACTTCTTCTTCTTCTTTCCCTTTCTTTGTCTTCTTGTTGTCCTCCCCCTTTCTCTTCATTACACTGTTATTTGGTTTAGAGACTAGCCTCTCTGGTGCATTCAGCTTCCAGTTAAGCATGTGGATTTAGAGACACATTAGTTTCCAAGGCCATTTATGAGTTCTGACTAATAATTTCAACTTTCACAATTGGTATCCCAATAAGCATTCTCCTACAGGCATAATGAAGGATAATTTTTACTATCATTTGCATCATGCAACCTAAGAGTACTGTATTCATCTGAGTATTCTGTTGGAGTAGTAATTTTAGAAGGTACCCAGATGAACTCTAGGTCATGGCAGAGACTATTATAACAAAATCTTTCTGTGATTTTCCTCTCTTTCTTCAGGTGAATGCTGGTACACTACCGTGACATACTTTTAATCTTTGATGGTCTTCATCCAAGATTTTACATGTCATTAATCACAATTTCTCACTTCATTCATTTCAGCTAGTCTAAGTCTGGAAAACAGCATCATACTGAATGTTCTAGTTGTGTGGTTAGCACCCTGCTTCATATTTGGGTGGTACTGAGTTAAATCATGACATGGAGACTGGTTATCCTGAGGATTTTTATGGTTTCAATTAGTCCCTTCTGGCAAATGCTAGAATCTTACCTCAAAATGGGAAACTACCACTTCCTTTCATCTCCCTTCCAATGTGCCATACATGCTGTTCCACTCCTCGTAAGCCAGTATTGCACTTCAGTATTACAGTTCATGTGTTCATACCACACACTTCCTCTTGTTCCTTTTGCAGCTGCCAATCTCCTGGGGAACTTCAGTGTGGCACTAACTTACGATTTGTTCATCACCCTCGGCCTCATCACAGCTGTTCCAGTTTCTGCAGGTAAAGAATAAGACAGGGAAGCTGTAAGTGTCAGGGATAGGATGTCTAATATAAAGTCTCTCCAACTTCAGTGCTAACATTACTTTCACGTAGCACATCCAATCCTGGATACTAAATTGTGCCTTATAACAACATGTGGTGTGGAAGCTATATCACTACATAATTCCATAATACCACAGAATACCAAGTCATGGTAGTATAACCAATAAATCTGCTGCAGAGGAAAGACTACTACTTTACCTTGACAATCTCTATAGTTCACAAAAGCTTATGCTGATCTTTGTTAAGTCTAAGGATGATTATAGTCAAAGTATAATTCCTTATTTACAACTTAGAGATAAATCATTTAATCTGTAATTCTAAGTTTGTCAGGTGAATTTGTGATTTTCTTACCCATTTTTCTATTTTAATCAATCACTTTCTACTGTTTTAGTTAATTCTACTGCTGCAATATTCAACTGATATCAAACAGGCGTTCATAACCGTATAGTACAACATTTACCTTTCATCCACATCAAGAAAAAATCTTCTTCTGTTGTTGTATCATTTGACTTCATTCACTGAGCTATGAAAATGCATTTCTTTTTTTGGTTCCCTTCATATTTTTACCTTAAAATTGCATTATTGGCTGCTTCCTTTGAAATCCTTTCAAATTTGTTATTCACCAGCCTTCCTATATTTAATGCTATATAGTCTACAGTCTAACAGCTTCATGAAATAAAAGACAAAACAGAAATGTTAGAACAATGAGTTGTCATAGATCATTAAAATTATTTAAAAATTTACATATTACCAATCACAAGGAAAAAGCTGCTTAGGAAGAACTCTGCTGTGTATTGACCATGAGAGCCTGATAATGACATATGCATTGTGTTCATCTCCAGCTTTGGATGTAGTGTTGTATGGAGCCCACTTCGTGGGAATGAAACTAGCAGGGATGATCCTCATAGCTGTTGGCTTCTTTTTGGTCATGTTTCCTGACAACTGGCCTGACTACATCACACGTCTCCTGCGGTAAGCCTGTCGGTTTCAGCTTGATATTAGCTTCATATTCCTTCAAACTGTAGTGGTTACTACTCCTGCTTTGTATCTAGGCTGTCACAGATTCCAGTCTCTGTGCTTGGATCATACCTTAAAAAATAAAAAATGAGACAAAGGTTGCTTCTTTTCACATCATTTTTAGTTTGTCATTCATAAACACAGAATTACTGCTACTTGACAGCATATTACCAAGGCTGTTACTGAAGCAATATTAAATTGCCCTAAGGAGAGAAATACAGGGGGTCAGTAAAGATCATAGAGTAACATTTAACACTGTCCTTTTGGCTAAACACCATGCCATTAAGAAGGGGGAGTCACAGCTCCATACATTCTAAGATTCAGTGCCAAATGGAGGTGTTGTGCTGTAATCTTGGCATTCAGTTTGCCATTGATGGCCTGTTTTAGTGCCCTGGTAGAGAAAATGGCAGTGGGCAGACTTCTCTCAGTGTACTTCAGTTTTCCCTTGCAAATCAGTATTACACTCTTCCATACTCACATGTCATCATCCTTGAAATCAAAGCATGACGCATTAGACCCATTTGAGGCCCTATTCCAACTGTTCTACTTGGAGGTCGGTGTGCAACTTCATGCCTTGTACCTTTTGGGACAATGAGATGGTGGTCTGAGTGGGGCATGGTAGCAAACAGAAAAGTCCTGCCCCTGCCAATTAGTTTCTGTTGACTGTACCTCCTGGCATTACCTGGCCACAAGTCTGGCATAGTCTTTATTTAACTGTGCTTTCCAAACTGTCTAGGCTATATGTCTCAAATGACAAGGTGTTTATGAATGCTGATATAACATGAACATGCTATGAAGCAATTGTGTGGTCTTTTTCTAAGTACAAATATTTGTTTGGAGGCACTATAGGACATTTGGATATGTGGGCCAACATACAAACCAAGGACGTCTAGTATATAAAGCACAAGTGCTAACCACTACACTGCAATTTATACCTTCTAAGTTGCCCACGTACTTAAGAACCATAAAATGAAGGGCTAGAGTGTGTGGAGATAAAGCTCCACACATTCTTAATACCAACATTAGATAGAGGTGAGTGGTCAGCTTCATGCTCTGGCCGCTATACTCCCAGGGAAAAGAACTCCTGGTCTGCTTTGGATTGAATTTTGGGTAGACCCCACAGCTGAGTTATGCTTCTACTGTAGACACATGCCCACACTCTCCAGTTGCACTTCCAACTTGCAGCACCTTACGTCTGGGAACTGTGCATGTTCAAATACTATTACATTTAAAATATTAAACTGTATTTTGTTAATGATTTGCAGCATTACTCTCTCCATTACTCACTGTCTCTCTGTATACATATGTAGTTAGAGTGAATTAACCACATCTTTTCTTTCTTATAACTGAATTGTAGATCAAGTTGTTTAATTTGAAACTACTGTAGTGTCTTATCTATTTTAAGAATTCATGAAAGTAGGCAGATGTAGTTAATGCATTGTTTATAGAAGCTGTATCAACTAAAAAGTTTCCTTATGACTTCCTGTATTCAACAATTATATGAGACTTTACTTCACTCCTGTTTTGACTAGGTCATTCGCCATATGCATACATATGCCATGAAAATTACTTGTACAAGTGGTTATATCAAAATATTTTAAGTTTGAATATATATAACACCGTGTCAGTAGAAGCCATGTTATGGACCTATCCACATCCAAGGAGGACTATCTAAGGTCAAAAGATTCATAATTTCAGGAATCATCATACCTGATTGAAACAGATGACAGAGCTTATTTCAGTGAAAGTTGAAACTGAACAATTCAATTTGATTTTTTATTTTTTACACATTTACTGAACAGTCCAAAGACAATTATAAAGTAGACACAAGCAAAATAAGAAAACAAAACACATACAATAAAACACAAACACAAAAAAAGTCAAAGCAAAGCAATCTATATAATTTAGATAATAATAAAAATTCAGTAAGTGCAATTACACAAATCATTATACAGTCAGAAAATATACATAGTATATATATATACACAGGGTGTCCCAGGATGTGCCAAACTTCGGGAGGGTGCTCCTTATGTTAAAGTATGCTGATATAACCCAAAACACCTATGTCCAAAGTTGAACGGTTATGGAGATAATGGCCAGAGAAGTGTGAAAATTGACTGGTGTTACACACTTGTTGATTTCAAAATACATATTAAAACTGGAAGGAATATGTGGTTTCTGTAATGTTAATAATGTACGTAACATCAAACTAACTTGTGAGTGACATGAAGCCATTAAATTTAACTACAAAAAACTCGCACGCCATGTCAAAGTTGTCGTTAAGAGTTCCAAGCACTATACACAGGACATGAATGGCAAGCGCTGACATAACATTGCTGACTGCGTGTTCTGGTATGCAAGTGTATGGGGCTAACGTGAGCTGCCATCACCACACTCAAGGACAAACGTAGATAAGACATGCCAGCTGACAGGTACAGTGCGTGGACTCTCCAGAAGACCACACTTTACTCGGTCTATTATCTCCGTAACCGTTCAACTTTGGACATAGGTGTTTTGGGTTATATTGGCATACTATAACATAAGGAACACCCTCCCGAAGTTTGGCACATTCCTCCTGGGACACCCTGTATATATATTTATTAGTCCACCATATATCCATAAGAATTACAATTCCAGCGGATGTAATTACCGTCATTAAGTATATGCAAATAGCTGTGCAATAGTGCACTCCTCAGCAACATACATAACAAATTGTATAACGTGAATAAAACAAATAAAAAAATATACTAACAATCCAGAAAAGTTATAAAAGAAACAAGTACAATTCAGTATTTATGCTTAGAAGTAAAAATACAGTGATAATTAAAACACTCTGCAAAGATACATGATCAACTGAGCAATAGGACACTTGTCCAAATGTATTAAAAAAAAAGAGAGATGTACAGATTGTTTTTATGCTAGAAACAAATTACAACAGTATACTCTATGGGGAACTTGTCCAACAGAGACAGGTACAGGTAAACATACCAAAAGTTAAAAGAACTAAAAAAGATATAAACTTCAACATCTATGTTTTGAGAGTTTGATAATTAAAATACTCTTTCAGTGAGTAGTAAGGAGCATAAAAGAATCTCTTTAAGGCTGCCTCAAAAGATTTTTGATCATTAGATAATTCTTTGAGTTTCGCAGGTAAGTGATTAAAGATCTTAATGTCTGAGTAATAAGCTGCCCTTTGAACTTTAGTCATAGAAACACTTGGGGGAAATAAATTGTTGTTTTGTCTAGTACCGATACTATGAATTTCAGAATTCCTTAAGAACATGTGTCTATTATTTACAATGTATTGCATCAGGGAATACATGTATTGAGAACACAAAGGTAAAATTTTCATTTCCCGGAATGAATCCCTGCACGAATCTCTTTTCTTCAAGCCCTTCATTATTCTTATTACCCTTTTTTATATCCTAAAAGTTTGTATACTATATGGAGAATTACCCCCCAAAATAATACCATAAGTCATGATTGAGTGTATGTAAGCAAAGTATATATATATATATATTGATAACATACAAAAGCTAATGGGCCCAATGGATACCCCTTGCTGTGAAGAATGGCACACTAGAGTGACACCAGGAATCCACTAACAGATAATCTAAAACAGCCCAGATAGTTCTCCCTCAGAGCAGAATGAATGATGTGCTGCCCAAACTACATGGTGGACCATCAGGTCACTTGGGTGTCAATGAAACCCTGAATAAGGTCCTGCAAAGGTACTATTGGCTCCAGGCGAGGAACACTGTTAAGAAGTTGTGCTGGCAGTGCAACTCCTATGTAGCCAGCTGCTGTTCCCGAACCAGGAAGTGATGCACCACTACAATGTTTGGGCCCTATTTGAAAGGATAGTTACTGATGTACCAGGGCCCTTCCCATGAAGCAATGAAGGAACCCAATACCTCCTGATCACTATGGACTATAAGTACTTTACCACGTGGCTGGAGGCCTAAGTCACTTAAAGGTGAGATCAATCACAGACATTACAAGCACAGCCTTCAGAAAAGAAGAAATGGCAGTATGCCTGTGGGCTATTTGGAACAAATAACCTTAAGGAGGGAGCAATCTAGCATGCAGAACTGTTACTGGGTAACAACCTCAAAGCAGTGAATGAAACAACATCCACTGCTAGGCAACAGATTCTTAATAAGCAAGCATGCATACACAGCTGTCTGTTACCGAGTAACACCTTCGCAAATAAACATGTGCCCATTGGAGTACAACAATGAATGGTATTTCTTAAGCGGTCCATGCCAAGATGTTATAAGGGCAGGTGGAGCAAGAGTTCAGAGAGAGTTGTAAGGGAGTCTCTGTAGAGAAGACTTGGGATATTCACTGGACAGTGATCAAGTGAGCGCTGAAGCTGAAGGATCTCCATAGTTAGATGCTATTATCAGGGAATGACTGATGAAGACACAGCAGACTGAAAAGAATTAGCATGTGCTGCAGTCATTTGACCAAAGGAAAATCTCTATTACAGCAAGCAGAAACTCGAAGACCAACAGTTTCCGAAACAGAAGGACAGAATTTAGACCATAGATAAATGTGAATAAAGTAGAGTGCATCAAGGTTATATCTCCACTCATGTAAGCTGTGCAATTTAAGTGCTCTAAAGCATAAGAATAACTACAATGAACATGTGGAAAGAAACAAGTAAAACAAAGGGCTGTAAACTTCTGCTGGATGCATTCCAAACGATTGCGACAATATTGGCGGTGATGATGATGAATACAATGAAGATGAAGATGGTAACACAGAGAATGAGAGCAATTGAAGATTGATGATGATATAGTATAAAACACACCATTTCAGAAGGGGAGGAGCAGGATACCAACTAACTCTATGTTGAGGAGTTTATATTATGGAATATAACACAATGAAGCCTGTTGAAAGTCAACAGACTACATGGTGTTATATCCCACAAGACAGAACTTCTCATATCCACCACTGCGTGAAAGTCAAATTGTACATAACACTCTGTTAATTGAACCTGAATACTGAAGCCTTCAAGGAACAAGATCATGAGTCAATTACACCACCATCCAAAAAGTATGTGACTTTATTTTTTGCCGCTGTAAGTAATGGCCAAAGGGGTGGGGGAAACTGAGCGTAATGGTAGAAGGGACTTTCATGCGCATGCATGATTTTTTGCTGACTGGCAACACTGCCGGATGCGTCTGTGGCTGCCAGATAGCGAAGTGGTGTAACACGTGTTCGTCGCATTCTCATTTTGCTCAAGATGACAGAATGTTTGGAGCAGTGATACTGCATCAAGTTTTGTCAGAAACATGGGGATACCCAAGCAGAAAGAATCAGCAAAATTCAGCAGGCTTTCAGCAATGATGCAATGGGGGTCACTCAAATTAAAGAGTGGTTCAACCACTTTAAAGGCCGCCATATGTTGGTGGACAGTGAACAGCATTCTTGGATAGACTGTCAATGAGCTAAAATGCTCATGTCATTGAAGAAGTGCAGACACTGATAATGGAGGACTGTCATTTGACCATCTGGGAAGTTGCTGATGAGGTTGGGATCGGCAGAGGTTCCACAAATACAATTTTAACTAAGAATTTGGGCATGCGAAGAGTGGCAGCAAAATTTGTGCCCAAGCTGCTTTTGCTGGAGCAGCAACAACTCCGCCTTGAGGTCGCGCAGGACATGCTGGAGTGTGCCAACAGGGATCCTGAGTTCCTGAAGACGGTGATCACTGGTGACAAGTCATGGGTGTACAGATATGACCCGGAAACCGAGGTCCAGGCATCACAATGGAAGCATCTAACATCCCTGAGGCCCAAAAAAGCACGACAGGTTCGGAGCAATGTGAGGGTGATACTGACTGTTTTTTTTTTCAATTACTGGGTTGTTGTGCATCATGAGTATGCACCACTAGGCCAAACTGTCAATAAGAAGTACTACCAAGAAGTCCTCTGCCATCTTCGTGATGCAGTTTGGCGCAAGAGACTGGAGCTGTGGGATGCACGCAACTGGCAGCTGCATCATGACAATGCCCCAGCTCATTCATCACAACTGATCCAGGGGGTCCTTGCCAAGCATGGCATTCCGCAGGTTTGCCAGGCTCCCTACTCTCCTGACATGTCTCCTTGTGATTTCTGGCTGTTCCTGAGATTGAAGACACTGCTAAAAGGTTCCTGCTTTGACAACCACGAGGACATCAAACAGAACACAACGGCGCAGCTGCATGCCATTCCAAACGAAGCCTTCCAGAATTGCTTCAGCAATGGAAGGACCATTGGACTAAGAGCGTGGAGTTACAAGGGGCCTACTTTGAAGGGGATTAGGTAGTGTAATGACCCAGATACAGAACTTTGTTTTCCCAGCCCAAGGTCATATAATTTTTGAACAGAGTAGTACACCTACTTCACAGTGATACAGCTTATTTCAGTAACATGAACTTTTAATATTATCATAACACTTCTTTCTCAGTTTTCTACATGAATTATTCCCAAAATGTTGTATTTATTTCTTTTTCAACTATAACCTCCTTCATCTGTGTGAGCCATAATATCCTTTATTATCCACAAATATCACCTCTTATGGAATAAAGGTAAAGTTGTCCCTGTACTTAACTAATTAAGTACTACACTATGAAAGTGCATAGTGGAGTGGATGTATAGAGCCATATTTTCTTGACCTCAGCACTAGCTGGAGGTGAGCGGTCAGCTTCATGCCCCTGCCACTTTACCCCCCAGGATAGAACCCCCAGTACCCATTGGATAGGAGACTGGGTGGGCCCCAGAGCTGGTCTGAATTACATGGAGAAGACAAAATTCTTGACCCTACCAGGACTCAAACTCCTAACCCTCAGTCATCCAGCCCATAACCAGTCGCTATACCAATTATACTATCCTGGATCCCCGCTTATTGGGGGGGGGGGACAAAATACCATTAACTTTTATTTGATGAACTGTACAGATAATAATGTATTTCTGCTCTTGAAAGCAACACAGTAGAATGACTTAAATATAGGATGATTAGATTTCTCGGCAAACCTTGCTGAGAAGTACAACAGTGCTACAAGTATATAAACACCCCCCCAATTGTGCTCCTCTTAGAAAAAGTCAAATGAGGTGGGATACCTGAACTCATATAAACATAAACAAAATAAAGAAACTGAACTGACGAAGAATAAACACTGCATGATGCATCCCCTTGACTTTCCTTGTTATTTTAATTATCATCATAATGGTACAAATATTCAGTTAATATACCAATGGAAGATATGATAAATGGAACCCCATTAGGTTTTGGTTTATCAGTATAATAACTATTTCATTTAATCTGAAAAAGGGCATATTCTGTAGGAAATTGAATTTGTTTGCAGACAATATCCCTGGAATATTAAAATGAAAGACAACTTTTTGGAAATCATCATTGAACTTTTTAATAGCCTGAAAGGAATATAGGACTATAAGTTGGATGAAAAGTATAAAGAGTCTACATTTTGAGACCTGCCAAGCAACTGAATCTATTACCTAATCTATAGTAATCACACTGACCAAACTGACTAAATGGCAACATTCTTAACCTACATTCAGAAAGTGCTTGGTTCAAACCTCAGACATGACTCTGGCCATCCTGACTGAGGTGTTTTATGGTTTCCTCAGTCCTCCAAGCACATTCCAGAACAGTACCATGAAACAGTCTGTAACTGCTTCTATCCTTTCCAATTAATCATACAATAATCATACCATTCTGTGATTATACAGTCTAAGCCACTGACAGCATTGCTAAACCAACCACAAATAAATAATTGCAGTAATATCACAATCTACACATTCCATATTAGACCACATTTCATGCACTATACACTGGATGTGCAATTCCCCTGTTTTCATGTAACATTTTCCTTCATAAACAGTACAACTGCACCTTGTATGAAACACAGATCAAACTACTTTCCCAGTTTTGTTTTCAGGAGTTACACAACAAAAAAGAAAAGAAAAGAAAACATATGAAGATTTGTAAGAAAGTAATTTCTTTGATAGAATTTAGGCCTAAAGGCATGGAAATATACTTAAAGTGTTCAGGAATGAAATACAGGTACGTCTGAATTCTGACAACTGGGTGAATATTAAACAATGTAAATTCTGATGATATATTTTTCTTTACTAATACTTAAATGATTAAAAGTAGATCCTTGATCATAGTAAATGCAGTGCTTTACAAAACTGTGGCTACACTTAAGCAAAAGTACATGTGTACCTGTTTGCCCACTGTTTTGCCTACTTTCATGTATTCTCTTATTTTCCTGGTCAGTCGTCACTATGGAACTTTTCTGTTGCAGAAACCTCATCATGTTGAGCCACAGCGCAAGGTAAGTTTCACTCTGCTCTCAGCACTTGCATGTGAATGTCTTATCAGTTTGTGTAGTAGAAATCACATGTCCACACCAGTGACTTACTGCTAGGCCACTGAGTTACTAAATTTAGGGTGAGCAATTTACTAGAGGGTCTCAAAGTCTGCAAGCCTGGGATGATATGTGTGGACTATTCAGTAACTCTGTACAAGGGCAGTCAACTTTACGTTTCAAAGTCTGTAGGCATGGGGCACACTGGTCAATGCATACGTCATTTAGTTAGTGAACACAGGGTGGAACAGTTCAAACATGGAACATGGTTTAGTAGGCTTTTGGTAACTGTACACACAGCACAGTGACACAGTCATGAGTCCACTGTTTGCAGGACTGGAAGCAATGAGACTCAAAAAAGAAAGAAAAAAACTCTGTGGCTTGAGTCCACAAACAAACTATACCGACCGAGTGACCACCTCTTGTCAGCAAAGTTAGTGCCAACTTCAGTGGATAATGGGTGTCACATGGTCAGCGCAACAAATCCCCACAGTCGTTAATTTCGGTTTCCTAGACCGGAGCCACTATTTCCTTGAAATAGCTCCTCAATTATCCTCATGAGGCTGAGTGGACCCTGTTCCAGACCCACTACTTCTCAGAAAATTTGGTAGCGCCAGGAATCGAACCTGGGACCTCAGGAACCTCCTGTAGCCAGGAACTCTGACCACTAGACCAGAGAGGCTGCAATGAGATCCAGCAGTGGGTATCTTCTCCCTCTTCTTGCTATATTAGTCTGCTCAGTGATGCCTGGACAGACAGCTCACTGTCTGCAACTTCATCCTCTGTACACATATTACAGTGACTTAAATTAGCCAAAAGAATATTTTCTACCTTTCCCATTGGGGTGATCACTGTGCAATATGCAAGTTGGATATAATTTTATAATGCAATGTATGCATGGAAATATTCATGGGATGTGTCAGCATAAAGGTACTGACTGCTAGAGTCACATATCTGATTACTTAACTGAAATTCATGACTTTCTGCCTTTTAGGCTTCACAAGAATGAGATCAATATCTGTAAGATGTGCAGGTAAATCCAGCTTCTACTGCTCTGACTGGTCCTCTCATCCTTTTGTATTCTTTTAAACACTTCATCAGTGATACACCGTGAAGTGTTCGTTCTGTCTTATTTTAAAATCTTATTTGCATTTGTGATATTGTAGGTTTGGTCCAACAAGATAATTAAGCTTTTAACAGTATTTATTCCTAAATATATGTACACTCATGTTTCTGATCTGAAAATCAATAAGGAACACGTGGTCCTCTCCTGACAGTTAAATACTCTCACAAGTATGAGAAGATAAAGTGCTGAAGAAAGTGTCTGAACTAGGTATGTACTAAATGGGGAATAGAAATTTTTGATTAATGCATGGTCTCTCAAACTGCTGGTTATGGCTTGCTCTAAGAGTGGTATCAGGGACTCCTAAAAAATTATTTAAAACATGGTTTATCCATACACAGTTTGTCAAGTCAGTAAGATTTAAAATGAGTGCTTTCGGAAAATGCAACTGCAGCTGTCAAAACCTTTCATGAATTTTTTCATGACTGTACAGGAAAATTTTATGGCTCACTGGAGGTGTACAGAGGGTGTACAGAAGGTGTAAAGCTATTCAGGTTCCTGCTGTCATCACAGAGCCTTACAGGGACTTGCAGCAGTAAGCAGAATTGCATTTCTTCCCAACAAGCATAGATAGGTCACATTAATTTATGTATTTTAAGGGATCATGTGAGAATCCCTGATATAATGAGAAATTTTTAATTTATGTGTCACCAGGCATGGTTTGACTAATTTAATACTCCATGTTTTGGCAGCTTGACATTTAGTTTTGATTGGGAAATCAGTATGTATAAATAAATAAGTTTCTGAAGCAGAATTCTCTTGGAAACTTTTATGCATTCCCCATGAAACTAGTTTGCACCTCGAAAGAAGAAGAAGAAAAAAAAGGGAATCTTAAACTCTCAGTAACAAATTACCCTCATACAGTTTACAGTAAAAAGGGACACTGACAATTTAAACGCTATATGCTGTACAAGTATATGAGAAATGCATTTTAAAAGCCATTCTGTGTAGTTTAATAATGTCACAACAAAGATCTTTCACTTAACCTAAGAGATTCAGGACATACAGTAACAAGCAATTTGGAAGAAAATCAGAAAATTCTGCAAAGAGCTCATGAAGATACTCTTGTCATTCTCCAACTTTTCTCTCCACACTACTACTGAAACTGTAACTGCAAACCACTGGAAGCACCAAATGTAAATAGCTAACAAATGACCCAGCTATAAGGTAAAAAAATTACCAACCGAAGAATTATGTTATACGCAATGTCATTTTATAACATGGTCTGCTTGACTCACAGACGTTCAACAGCAAGACGATTATAATCCGATAACTCACTGCCCAAATCTTGGATATATCAATGCAATAATGATATGGTCTTCCACTTTTTGGGGTGTCTGCATATGGTTCCCTGTTCTTCTCAGTTGTTTCTTTGTTTATTTAATGACACTCTGTCAACTGCTTTCAACATATAGCATCAATTTCTGCTCTCCTACTCCATGCCAAGACAATTTCTCTCTTAAATTAGACTTGCTCAGTGCTCCATAAGGAAAATGTGCTTTCATAGATTTTGGATGCAAAACCCCCATCATAGACAGCCAGGATTTTCTGTAGGGCTTGTTCTTCACTCAGCACTTTGGAAGCTTGCTTCACCCTAGTCTGGGTAAGACAGCCATGTAGCACTACTCTATATGGATCCCACAGTCTCTCCAATCCAATAAGGTAGGGCTGTAATAAATGATTAATTTCTTTAAATACTGGATTATTTCCTTACTTTAGAATTGCTTATTAATCAATGAAGACTTATGATCATGTTGTTATTTTCATGTGTTCTTTGCAAAAAATGTAATGTCATATGGCAGGTTATCTCTGCTTCTTCTCCAAACTATCCAACAAATTTATATTGGATCTGATATTTGTTGGGTCTACAGTTTTGGAGTGAATAAAATGTTGATCCACATCAGTCCAGTGAAACCCTTGACAGCTAAATAATAAGCTAAAATCAAATTCTACTGATTGCTAAAAGAGGTTAACACACAATAAATTCTATAAAATATACAACATATATCTCATCAGGATAGATGTTTGTTCAAAATGTTTTGCAATAAGGCAAATATTTAGCAAAATACAAACAAAAAAATTTCAAACTTAATGTACTGATATCAACAGTAAAATTAGCTTTACACCAATATATGTCCATATCAGTGAGGTACGTAAAATTAGATCACAATGGAAAAATAAATACATTTCAATTAAAGTTTTTCATATTCACCAGTAATCGGTACATCAGCCTATCAACTGTCAACATAACCTGTTAAAAACACACTTATGAAAAATACCATTTAATTTATTATTAAATAAATAATTAACTTGCAATTTTAAATTGGAGTCATAAGGTTGCTTATTTAGGGTGCATTTAATCTGGAAGGAGGGTCAGACCAATCGAAAGAGTCATCATAAGATGGATCCTCAGGTTAAAAATGATGAATAATGATAAATGGCATGGGTAATGTACCTAAAATGAACATGGAAGGATAAACACATTTTAGGATGAATTTTGCATTTTATGTGGTTCAAAAATTTAAACATACAGGTGGACAAATGCATGGGTATAACTTCATATTATGCATTAGTTAATTATTTCATACAAACAACATGTAACAAACTCAGAAGACATGTGTAAGATTTTCATGTTTCATGTGTTTCCAACTTGTGGTGAATAGAGTCTGTACATACATAAAGATCTTTGATGTATACAACTACAAAATAATCTGCTGCTCTTCCATTTCAGATGGAGTCGACGTAATCGTCACGGTGCCCAAGGAAGCCAGAGGCGTGACATTGTGGATTACAGGACAGGTTATATTAGATCACACCTCCGTTCCCCATCAGGAAGAGTGAGATGACCCGACCCAGGACATAGCATCACTGATCTTGACCTATGATTTAATTCTCAGAATCTTAGATTATTGCAGGATGAAGGATGTGCTATTAGATTAGTTGGTGGGATAATGAGGCACTCATCTGACAGCTATCAGTTATTAGGCATGGTATTGTTACCAGCAGTTGAAATTGTAAAGTGAAAATCTCCTCTCACATTCACTTCTTTGCCTCCTGACTGAAACTGTACAGTGTGTACAGATGTGCCCCAGTCATATGTGAGAAGCAGAATGAAAGTTGTCATTCAGTGAACTATCTACTCTGACTTCTCTTTAAATTAGTTTTCTAAAATCACTTCAATGACATCACAACCTGTAGTGAATATTAAGTGCAGATTACGGTGCATGTCCTCTCTCTTCATGTTCAAAAGGAATTCAGAAGTATCTGCAACATCTGTAAACTAAAATAACTACATATAAGTAAATTATAATTAATTAAAATGGCCATAACATTACAGAACATGTCACAAGATGGAAACCGGGGAACTCATTTAAGTCCACAAATTGCTGTGGTACCACTCCTGGCATCTCTCAGTAATGTCTTGGTTTCTTTGTGCAGTGAATGTGGCATCCCACCGTAATCTACACCTCGTTCAATAACATTAAGCCAATAGAAGATTATAACGTATCAGTAGCTACAGCATTCAACTTCAATGATATTGCATATAGAAAAAGTAGTTCTGATATATTTGTCATGCTATTTTATCTGAATTTCTATTATCATTTCTTCAGCACAGCATATCTAGAATTCAAGTTCAATTCCATTTGCATTGGTAGATTACCAACATTAAACACCCACTGCCATTCTAATGAGATGTCTGTATCCTTCTAGCATCTTCAGGGAATCTATTTTATTCGCATTGTCATAAAAGAACAGTTGCCTATGGAATACATGTGGATACCAATCTGATAATCAGATTTAATGCAGTCTTTCAATCTCAACACCATTTGAAATAACGATTTACATTTTTAATAAAGTTTTCCAGCGGTGCAATAGGGGTATCAAAAGCTCTACTGTTTCCCATGATAAATAACCTCTGTGCAGTTTTTCACATGGCACATAATAAATCTATTCTGCAAAGCTGTCATTCTCAGAGAAAAGAGGCAGTGGCTTCACTCTGATGTCGGTTGAACAACCATGCAGATGATGAGCTCCTAAACCCTTTACTGCCACTCTAATTTATTCATAAATTTAGAAACAGTTTTACTTTATGGTGACCCTGTATTTGAGCCTTCATGGCCTAACTTGTTACACAGTAACTTGCTTACTGCTGAAAGTCATAATGAAGTACGAGTAGTAAGCACTCCTGATTTACATTTGGTAGGTTTTCAGTTTGAATCTTCACTGAGAAATCAGATATTCTGACACAGGATTTTCATGTTTTTCTTGATCACTCCATGTAAATTGTGCAATAGTACCTCAAGACATTCCATTACTGTCTACTCCTCTACACTATTACAGTACCAATGACCCATTTAAACCAGTAGCTCAAAAGTATGTGGTATCAGTTGACCACTTATGAGTTTTCTGAGTTTGTACCTCTAAGAGTGTAGTTAAGTAAACATACATCAGCCCTGTACCATCCCTCCCTTACAGAAAAGAATATTAACAGATATATACATACGCTGGTGCAGTAATGTCATATGTATAATACTAAAACTGCAAGCCTTCTCTTACTTCCCTATAACCTTATCCTGCCCTTCTAAATTGGCATGAAATTCAGGCTAGCAAGATTGATCAGAACCTGGAAAACATATAGTATATATTTAAACCAGCTAACCTGATGTAAGACCAGCCACCATCCACATATTCCTCTGCTTCATGTAATTAATTACAGGGATGCCACCACCTGCATATATTTTTTGGGCAAATTCCTCACACATTTCTGTTGTCTCCATTATTTTATTACACTTACCTTGCATATCAGACCAATACAATCCTATATCCTACAATCCTACTGAAAAATATCTATGCTACAGAACATAGAGGATTGTTTACGACCTATAATTTTTAGTTTAAAAATTTTTCAATATGATGTATATTTAATACAAGAAAAGAAATGTGACCAAAACCATAACAATATAGTTGGTTGGCCCAATGGCTTTGTATCTGCAACGAATTAACATCAAGACCAAAATGGCATATTTCACATTCAGGAAATATGTGTTCTTCAGATTGGAGTATACCTCCTTTGTTGTTCATATGTGGAGATTTAAGATTGTCTACAAATATAATAAAACTGTGTATTAGTATGAAACAGAAATATAACCACTGGAAAGTAAAGTATACTCAAATTTGTACTGTAAACTAAATGCATATGGTCTGGCAGAGTTCCAATTTATGAAAAATGACAGAATTTAAATTCAGAGACTGCTGAACAGCAATGATTTCCTGGCCTAATGCATAAAATTAAATTACATTACATAAATAACATTAAATAATGTTAAGACGAGAAAGAAACCATCTCAAGGTGTGTAATTCAGAGCTCTTACTTACAAGTAGAACATATTTCATTTGTCAATAATGCAAATATAGGACTTCAAGTTGTCCTTGTTCAGTTTCCACAAATTTTACTTTCTCCATTACCTGCAAAATTTTAAAATTGGTTACTTCAATTAACATAGAGAAATTTGCAATAGAGAAATAAAAAGGAAACACAAGATTCCAATTGAATAGTTGCTTTTAAGTTTGGTGTCAATTCCTAACCATTTTGGAACTAACAATTTATTTCTTTTATTAAGTGCTCCATTTTGAATAGGTGGAGGATCTACTTCTCACAGTTATTGAATGTACATAGGATCACTGATGTTAGGTGGACAGAAATCCATACAGCTGAGCCGTTAGTACCTGATCCTAGCCCTTTTGAGGTTGAAAGTGCTACTGCAAAATTTAAACGGTATAAATCGCCAGGTAGTGATCAAATTCCAGCAGAACTTATTCAAGCAGGAGGTGAACTGTTATGTTCTAAGATCCACAATCTAATTCCTTCTATTTGGCATAAGGAAAAATTGCCAGATCAGTGGAAGGAGTCTTATTATTGTACCAATTCACAAGAAGGGTGATAAAACTGACTGTAGTAAATATTGGGAGATATCACTGCTACCAACTTCATACAAAATTTTATCCAATATTCTTCTCTCAAGGTTAAGTCCATATATAGATGAAATTATTGGGGATCATCAGTATGGGTTTCGACGTAACAGATCAACTACAGATCAGATCTTTTGCATTCATCAGATATTGGAGAAAAAATGGGAGTATGATGAGACAGTACATCAGCTATTCATGGACTTCAAGAAAGCCTACGATTCAGTTAGGAGGGAAGTATTGTACAATATTCTGATAGAGTTTGGGATACCCATGAAACTAGTTAGGCCTAGTGCACACATGCAATTTTTAGTTGGCCAATAGTTGTGCACGATTGTTGAGGCCCAACGACTTTCGAGGGACGTGCGCACACATACAATTTTTAG